TTTATAGAAACATTGCAAAAAGAATATGAAGCCTATAGAAAGAGCTTTAAATTATCTAGAAAATTAAAAGGTGGTGTATATGTGATACAGGGAATAGTAGCTATAAGTGTTCTTGGGATCCTTATACCAATTGTGGCATTAACCCCTGTGATGTTTATGGTGCTTACAGCAACACCTTCGTGTGCATTATTATTATCACCTCTGAAATCATTACCAAGAAAAGATAAATTACGTATGTGTATGACTTATTTAATGTATTTAATCGACGAAGCTGAAAAAGCGGAATGTATCGACGCTAAATTCATAGCTCTTTATCATAAAAGTCGTGACATATTTGAAAAAAGTACTATGTATTGTAAACCTTATACAATTTATACGGTTAGATCAAAAAACATTAAAAAAAACATCAAAAACAAACATTAAACAAAAAAATATACATAAGAATCTCGAAATTTGATATTAAATCTCGAAATTTAATTTGAGAAAGCTAGCATAAAAACAGGACGGACAAATATAATAATCTCGAAATTTATTATTTAATCTCGAAATTTATTTTGAAAATATAATAACCCTTTTTTAAACGCACTTGGAAAATACGAGGGGTTTGTCTTGTGGTCCTTCTGAACTTTACAATAAGACGACGAAAAGACTGACCTATATCCGATTATTTAAATTTATGCCCTTATATGGTGTTGTCTATTGTTATGTAAATCTATATAACAAAAGAAACCATGGCAATTATCATGTATGATGTAAAACGGGATTACCTTGGGTATTTCCAACTCTCTCTAAGGGCACTGACCCTAAGAGATATGTGTGAAAACCAACCATGTATGACGCTATTCCCAACTTTGCCGTTATGTTTTTCTCCTATTTTTGAAAGTATAAGATAAAAGTAATAATGGAGGTTTCGAACGCACTACTAAAAAATATATATATAAGAATCTCGAAATTTGATATTAAATCTCGAAATTTAATTTGAGAAAGCTAGCATAAAAACAGGACGGAAAAATATAATAATACTTTTTGTTTTATATATAGATATAATAATGACCGTTACAATGTAAGTTCTGTACCCTGCTAGCTTCCAGAAGAATTGAAAAGTGATGACCAGATATTTAAATATATTATGAGTTCAAGAGAAGACGTACTAATAAGACAAGTTGGTAAATACTTATACAAAATATTTGAAATCAGAAATAACAATAACTGACATTTTACTTTTACTTTAGTTTCTTTAGTATTGTACTTTATTACTAACATTTTATTGCTGTCAACCAATGGAAATTATTTCTAAGGATGCAATAAATTCATTATTATTATTATTATTATTATTATTATTATTATTATTATTATTATTATTATTATTATTATATACTACTGTACATACAGTTATATAATTGTTCATTTCAACAGACTCACAAAGTTCCAAATGTCGTGTATAATAGCAGTTTGCTCAGAATCTCTTCAGAATTGAGATCATATTCACAATTCTAACAAAATAACACTTTATACACTGTCTAGGCATAATTGCACAATAAATTTCAGAGGTAACATATACACTCGCATTACTGATAGTTATACTACCCCTCCTCGTAGATTATGCGCGCCTCGGACTTTTACCAGACCGAGGCTCCAAAAGGAGCCGCTATTTCCCGTTAATCTACGAGGAGGGGTAGTATAACGAAGTTATACTGCGAATTTGACGAGTTTTGCACGGCGTATTTTAAATCCTGTGGTCATTGCGGATGTTTACAGCGCTATTGTGTAAATCGCAATTCTAAACCAGGTGTAGTCAACCGCAATTATCAGCCG